AACCTGACATTAATTGAATAAAGGTGTTGGCGCATGATATCTCCAACACAGGATAACTCAGGTAAGGCAGAAAAAGAACAGTGAAGAATGCTGTTAAAAGAAACTAAACAGCATAGTTTTAGGCATGCCTATTCAGAAGTCTTTTTTAGTTTCTGGAACTTATTTACACATAAAATAGGGATATGAAGATTTGAAAGGAAAAAAAGTGTTCTGAATATGTATTTATAGTCTTTTCTTATAACTACCCAATAACTGTGGAAGACAACTATTCAGAAAACAAAATTCAGCTGCTTTAAGGCATTGTAGATAGTGCTATGTGTATATCCCCAAGTATTCTGTACTCACCCTTTGATCTTAAGAGTTATGAAACTATTCAGTTAAAATGGATTTTCCTTAGAAAGCATAAGAGAAATGGATTTATTTTTTAAGAGTAGAGGAATTTTTTAAATGAAAGGCTGATGTGATATCATAATAGCTGGATTTCCAATAAGAACCTGATAATTCAATAATGCCAATAATTTTTAATGATTACAACCACATTTGTAACATCAACATTTTAGCAACATGTTTAGCAGTAGTTACCACAGATTTGTTTTTCACATTACTATTGCATTATTAATATTGTAGTGGTATCTATAACATGTACGCTACAAGAAATGCTGAACTGTAATACATTGATTTTGACAATCATTTAAAGAGAACATATAGTACTACTTGTGTTCTGCTGTTTCCTTAAAATTCTTTTTTTGTGAACTGAAAAAAAGATGAAAAAAAATCTACAAAAAATACAGGATAGCAGCTACTGGATGATGGAGTCCTGGGACTCTCCCAATAGAAAGTAATAAATATCTCATAGTGAAAATAGGAATCAGAACTATAGAATTTCACAGTTCCATTCCAAGACCAATTATATTTATTTGTAATTATTATTTTTTATTTGTTTGCCTTGATGCTGCTTTAACAAGTTCAGATATATATTTAATAAGGTTAGGCTATATTTCTGTAGCTCTTTCTTTGGTTCTGTGATTCTTACTTCTTCCTTATTTCTGAATATGGGATGATGTTATGAAAGTATTTATTTTGAATTTTCACTTAAATATGTTAGAATGGGTCCAAATGTAAAAACAATGAAGTTTCACTTAATGAAATTATGGTTCAATTAATATGGTAGGGTGATGATAACATTTGCCTTGAAGAAGAAGTAAAAATCTGTATGGAGAATACTTTTCAAGAAGAGTGGAACACTTTTCTCTTAGGAATTGATTAATTATGCATTCATTCATCTTACAACCATAATATAGCGGTTGTATAACTAAAAAGCACAGGGAACTGTTATACAAGAGGTGTTGTTTCCTTTTCCTGTCTCTTGGTGCTTATGTGTGTTAAAGTTTAAAAAGTCTTGTCCCTAATTATTTTTTTTCTATAGCAAATTAAATGAAGTTCTCTCCCCCAGATTCATTTGATTCCATTGGGAACAGAAATAGTCCTTTGCTGTCCATCTTATTCACAGCATTAGTCTTAATAGCAATGGAGGTAATGATTGAAAAAAGGAAATCAATTTAATTAGTGTTTAATCCTACTTGGATTACATGATTTGCAAAAGGCTATTTATGTTGGAGCCAAAATGTTATAAGGAAGTTTTTAACCACTGTGAAAAATAATAGTCTATAAAATGAATGAATGCAAATTAATCAATTCCTAAGAGAAAAATGTTCCACTCTTCTTGAAAAGTATTCTCCACATAGATTCTTACTTCTTCTTCAAGGCAAATGCTATCATCACCCTAATTCTTGGAGGATGCTTGGATGAATTGGCCTACCCAATTATAATTGCATATTGAACATGTTTTTTTCAATTTATTGGATGATTTCACAGATGCCACAAAACTATTGACTATAATTCAGAGATTACACATTCTGCAGTTATAATCTCACATTTCAAATATCTTTTAGTCGATAGACAAACCATTCTTAACCATAAGAAAAACTCATCAAATAGATCTCTTATGATAAGACATTGAAAACATGATTAATGCATACCAATAAAAGAAAACAAATATAGTCAATCCAGTTTAAAAGACAAATATTTCCTTCAGCAAGATAATCTTTTACAATGAAGACAACAAAGAATGGATTAATCTAACCCAGTAGGCAACAGTTTCACACGAGATTTTTCCTTTTTGCATTCTATTTTTAATTATTACAGATTTGTTATAGATTTGTTTCTTTTTCATTTTTAGTAGTCATTGGAAATGTGAATTTCTTTCCCATGAATTGTAAGCCACTCAGAGTCATTGACTGAGATGGGCAGCCACAGAAATTGAACAAACAAATAAATCAAATTAAGCCTGCTAGATTAATAAATTCTGTGGTTGCTTGCGATGCACCCAGAAGTCTTAGCTGCCCCAGCCAGCTCCAGAAAGTGCAAACAAGCATTCATTTACCCAGCTGTCTTCTCTCCCCAAGTCCACATGGCTCCCCAGCACCAGTTAGCAAGCATTCATTTGCTGCTCAGTCCAGCCCAGCAACCAGCCCAGCAAACATTCATTTGCACAGCTGCCTTCTCTTCCAGTTCCCCCATACAGACCTTTCGTCTTTTGCTGCCTCCTTTTTGGACCCAGCTACTCCAGCAAGTTTCATACTTTTCTAATTTTATTCCTTCTTTCTGAAGACAGTGCTATCTTCGCAAAGCCGTGCTGTCTTTGGAACAAGAGGTTCCATTTTTGCATAGATAGCACAGCCTTCAAAAAGCTGCACTGTCTTCAGAAAGAAAGAAAAAAGTAGGAAATGTTTGCTAGAGAAACTGGATCCAAAAAGGAGACATCAAAAGTGATGAGGTGCTTCTGCTTTGGCCATGGCAGCTGGGTGTAACTAGCAAAAGGTTGGTGCAGGGAACTGGGAGAGAAGAACCACATGTTCTGTGGTTTCTACTTCTCTGGAATCACAAGGGCAGAGCCTTTCAGCTGATGGAATGTTTTTAATATTTACTATCCAATACTGCATAGCATCATAAATCTTACTTATCTAAAAACACGTTACATGCCTGCAATAAGTACACATTTTAAAATTCAGTAAACATTAATACAACACCTTCAGAACTCAAATGGAACATTTGGTTTTTAAAATAAATACCATATAAAAGAGTGTCCATTTTTATACTCAACAACCAAAAGGTACCATAAGCAGTCTGTGTTACTTTCTCCATTCTCTGACTTCCTGAATGTCAATCTGCGACAATAATAGAAAAATTTAAAAGGCTCACCTCATTCACTTTCTGGAACTCAATCCACTATCAGGCATTTTGGCAGATGATGGTAACATTATTCCTGCTCTGATAAAGTACATGTATTGAAATCCCCTTTATACAGTTCATAAAAATAGTATGACAGATATAATGAAGATCTGGGACAGATAGATATGGTTTCCAAGCATACTCGGTAAACAATCTCTTCCCTGAGTCTTCCTTAGGGAAAAACAGTAGAAAATAATTTTTCCCAAACTATTCAACGATTGGAAGAATTCAATGGTTTAATCAACATATTTATATTAAGATTTAGAAAAGATTGTGGACCAGCAGGAAGCTTCCATCTTGAAAGGCACATATAGTCATGAGCTAATGACCAGCATGCATTTTGTTATTGTTGATGCCTTTTTTTGGAGCTTCAACTGAGAAAACTGCTGCTGTTGCTGGATCTTGTGTATGCCAGGGGAGAGGATTTACCATCTAATACTGAAGTGCAATTATGCCTTTAGTGAAACATTTCACAAGCTGCTGCTTTGTCATATCTAAGAAGGAGGCTTTACTACCCTGCCTTTTGTCATTTAAGGGTCTTCTTGGCTCTTATTGAGGAGCAGGTGGCAGCTGTGGCCAGAAGGCCTTTGCGCAATTTCAAAGGGTTTGCTAATTGTGCCTGTTCATAAATCAGAAAGCTCTACTTGTTATCACTAATGCCTTATTCACCTCCCAGCTGGATTACAGCAATGTGTGCCTTATGTGGTGACCTTAAAGACCACTCAGAAGCAATAATTGGTCTAGAAAACTGTGTCATGGGTAGTTATGGACATACTGTGGCATTCCCATGAAACATCACTGCTTTGTGAGCCTACTATCTCCCAATAAGCTACAATGTGCAATTCAGGGTGCTGATGATCATTTATAAAGCCTTACATGACACAAGACTGGGTTATTTGCAGGATTGCCTATCTCCAATTATATAGTCCCTGCTACAGGCTTTGTTGTGTCATTATCATTTAGTTAGATTTACCTAAGAAGTCTAACTTGGAAAAGGTAGCATATATCCTCTGGAGTGACCCTCACCAAGATTTTATTGGTCCCAAAATTTGTTGGCTTTCAGAAAGCATTAAAACCCTTTTTCATTTGAATTTGAATGTTAGATGGGCCTTTCTTGGGGATGGATAATGTTGTTGCTGACCAGAATGTATTTTGCTTTTTATTTTATTTTAGTTTCATTGATGTTTGTTTTAAAGTTTTGTTAGTCACTCAGAGTCTCCATGGCAAGTGGTAAAAATATAAATATTTTCTTCCTCTGTCCAAAAACCAAAGGAATTCTACTTGGTACATTATTCATTTTGAGCATTGTCAAAGAGAAATCCTTTGTGCAATGTTTTTTTTCCAGGGAAAAACATGATAATTTCATTTGCCCAAATGACTGGGAATGAACCGACTTGCTCTCAGAGGAATGAGATTAATTAAATCTTAGTTGTCATCTTACTTGTTGTTACAGAGAGAGAGAGGCACTCAGTATCATCCTTGAAATGCAGAAAATTATAGTTATTTATTTATTCATTTATCTTGATATTGATTTTACTAGTTTAATTCTTTAGGGAAGTTTCCATGGGAGATGTTCATTCATTCACTGCAATCTGTGGCCAAAATAAAACAAGTTTCAGGCTTTCAATTGTTGTAACATGGATTAAATTCCCTAGCACTAAGATATAGATGTCATATTATATAATATAATAGATTTTCCCCCCTTTCAGATGAGAACTCGCCAGCAAATTTCTGGGATTCCAAAAACCGTGGTGTGACTGGAACACAGAAAGGGCAGATCATATGGCGAATTGAACCTGGTCCCTATTTCATGGAACGTAAGTCCTCTGATAATATATAATATATAATATAATATATATATGTGTGTGTGTGTGTGTGTGTGAATAACATTTCTAGAGGAATGCTTAGCATCTTTGCAATACGTTGCAATAGTATTCCCTAGAATTTATATCCTCTCAAAATCTTATCAGGTAAGAGAAAATGGAAATAGAAATCTGTTGATTGAGAAATATTGGTAGGTAAGCAGTGAATTGCTACATATGCATATTACATTAATCAGTTTTTAGGCAGATAGTATTATTCAAACTGCAGAAAAAGGGAAAGAAGTAGTAAGCAAAAGGAACTGGATCAAGCAGATAAGAAAACTGAGAAAGGAATCAAAGTAAGTCTAGTTTATGTCTTGTACTTCAATTCTATAAACCTAGATATTCTTGCTAACTATCCTTCCTCCTGACAACTCCAATATGTTAACTTTTTTCTTTAAATTTCTTGTTTTAGGTTTCAGCTGAAATGTGAAAGTAGCAAGAAATCTGTTACAGTTCTTGTTACTATCCTAGAGCTCGAACAAGTGTGAACTGTCACAGCAAATTATTATTACTATATAATGGTGATTTACAATTAGATTAACCTAAGATGGGTGGAAACTTATTAACTCATGTCCTTATTAATCAATAACCTAATAATTATTAAGCTAGCATTAAAAATATAAGCTGTTCCAAGCAGCATTATTTTTTGCAAAATTAGAGTGTTCAAGTCTGATAAATTCAATACCTTGGTACTCAACTACTTTGAAATACATCAAATTTAGTACTCAGCACATTTTGATGCAAACATTTTGTTCAGGTACTCGTTGTTTGTTTGGTACTCAACACACAAACTAGAACTTGCCAGTGTCAGCTGTCTTGTGACTCATTGGAGTGATGGGAAAAATTTGTTTAGAACTCATTGTTTTTGGTACTCATCACACCTTGTGGAACCATGTACCGATGACCACTGAAATACCACTCTGTTATCTATTCACAACAATGTGAAATTACAGCTGTCAGTTCTTTAACTGATATTGGCCTTTACGTGCATCAAATACTTCTCTAGGATATCATAATGTATTGGCATATTATATATTATTAAGTGTTGTACCTTATGATTCTTGACTCTTGATGAATGTATCTTTTCTTTTATATATACTGAGAGCATTTGCACCAAGACAAATTCCTTGTGTGTCCAATCACACTTGGCCAATAAAGAATTCTACTCTATACGAGGTCCTTCTGTAATTGACAGAAAATTTTATCAGTGTGCATATTTTCTAAGTGCTGTCCATGATTTTTCTGGTATGGCGCACTCTGTGCTAGGAACCACCAGGACCACCATAGCTAGTTTGTGCCATAGTCTTTCTGCTTCAGTTTTCAGATCTTGATTCTTTGTGATCTCCTCCAATTCTTTATCTCCTACCATCCTCTGGTATTGCCACATCAATTGCCCACATTTTCTTCTTTTCAACTACAGTGAAATCTGAATACTAAGAACGTATTCAGAAATCCCATAATATTTCCACCTGGTCATTCAACTACTTTTTTTCAAATCTGTTTCCACCAATTTTTCATCACTAGTATATAATAATTTTTACAGATGTTCCGATGAATCATTTTGGTGACTTCGTTATGTCATTGTTTATAATCAGTTTGTGTGATTATCTTGGTGGAGGAAGAAGAATCTAAACACAGGAATGTGGTGCTAAGATTAAATAATTCAGGAGAGAACACGAAGGGGAGTTAAGAGGAAGAAGGAATGATACAACTGTCAAATACTATCCTTTGATCATTGTAATAATTCTTTGCCCTCCAACTATCATTGGTTTAAAAGACAGGCTGAATTTGTACTGCAGCATTAATGCTATTAGAGGAGTTGAGAAGTATGGGCCTCCCCGTACTCTATAGAGAAAAGAATAAAATGGGAAATATCCAATTGAAATTCTTGTGGCTTTGGCAGTCAGCAAAGAAGAGCTCTCTTCCCCCATAGAAAAGCTGGAGGAATGTTATTTGTTGCATAATGATAATGTGGCAAATTGCTCTTTTTGGACTACTATTTATTTATGTATTTATTAAATTTAGATGCTATCCCTCTCACTAGCCAAACAGTTCTGATCATCTTACAATAAAAACAAGAATATAAAAACATTAAAATTAATGGTGATTGTGTAAAACGATTGCTTTCCCTATTATATTTTAGCAGGCAGAGTCCATCTTTTCTTCCTAGTCTCCACGGAGGATAAGATGGTATCTTGAAGCTCAGTAATATGACTTGCTTCCCTGTGTGATTAAAAGCTTTGTGCTCTGATTTCTAGAGTACCTGAAATAAATAAGTAAAACATTCAACTTTTATTCTAGATGCATTGTCTATGGTAGAATGAGTAAACTGAAGTCCCAAGGCTACATGTATCCTCTCAAACTGTTTTTAAAGCCATTGGAATTCCCTAAGATAGTCTCCATGGCATGGAAATCAAAAAGTTGGTATTGTAATTAACCGTCCTTTTTAGGATATATCAGTAATTGTTCCCCTGAAATAGGAGAGAAATGGCAGGGAGAGAAATTCTTGATTCTACCTTTTTGCATTGCTCAGCCTACCTCTTTCATATCACTCAATCCACTCTAAGTGGACTAGGCGGCACCTTTCATACCATTTTGACAACATTTTCATAGACATAGGGGTTCAGCATGTACTGGAATTTCAAATGGCTATTGCATTGAATTGTCATAACTTTGACCTGTAGTCTTCCTAAGATGTCCTTTCTGACAGAACAATACTATTTAAATACTTCCATACGCTTCCAAGAAGTCATCTGTTATTCAGATATCTGATCTGAGATAAAGCCCATCAAAAGTCCCGAGCAACAATCAAGACCAGAAAAGAACAGCAAAGGAATAATTCCCTCTGACCTTATGTTAAAAAAAGTTTATTATTTAAAGGAGGATAATACCAGAACTCCAACAAATAAGTTGGTTTTCAGATATGGAACCTATTTATAGACTTTCTCCTGTGTTTTTGGTTTAATAGAAGTAAGTCTAGTTTATGTACCATTCAAGTATAGTCTAATATGAGAAAGTGGGCTAATCACAATATCTCCGTTCATGTGAGGAGAATCCTCTTCTATAGAGCCCAGTAAAGAAATACACATTATAATAGTTGTCAGAGTATTCACACAATCCATTCTTCCTCCTCCATGTTAGCGCTATAAATTATAATTTGGCTTAATTCTTCTATGCTGGTCATCAAAAATGGAAGGGAAATAGCAGGAACTGCACCTTAGGAGTGTATATTATTGATGGAGTAGGGCTTCTAGATGATTATTGAACAATCTTAGTTATAAATAACTGACAGCACATAATTATTTATTTCTTCTTTCACGTTTTATCTTAGTCTGATAACAATTGGGATGACCAAAATGACATATTTTTACATTCAGGTTGGTGTAGTTAACTTTTTCTGTTTAAAAATTTTCAAAACACCATTGGTTTCAACTATGGAAGTATACAAAATTGGTTATAAAACTAGACTTTAATTTTGTATTCTTCTGATTAGATGATCTTAAAAGTTGAGGTATAACAACAAGTCATGCCTTGGAAAGGAAAACAAATATTTTATCTTATTGCTGCAATTGGCTGAATTTTGGCTAGATGCTTAAGTACAGTTTTCATTTTCTGCATATCCTTTGTTGTGATTTATTAAAATTGAATTAATAAAAATGGCAAGATTTTGTCTTTCCCCTGAGGAAAATCAGTTGACAGAATTAATTCTTGTAATGAAAGAAATAGTAGTAAAGATTATGGGAACTGGACATGAAGCTGAATGCCTCTGTCTCTGGTACTAAGTCATACATACGTATTTACAGCATCTCATCATTCATATCGCTGTTTCCACAGGGAGAATTTGTATGAGTTGAGTCAAAAGAGAACATTTTGATGCTTGTGTACTGTTGATAAAATTCTTCCTGCCTGCTTGATATTCTACCCTTCTCTGCCTTGTGTTCTCTTTGTACCATTCAAGTATAGTTTGGAACCATAATTGTCCATCCATTATAGCAGTTGGGGTGAAATTTGCAATTCACGTCGGAAGTATGGAAGAAAAAGTGAAGTGCTAAAAGTATATTCTGCACAGATTCTTGATTCTCATTATAATTTTGGGTACTAAAATATATATCTTAAGTAACAAGCGTTACAACAATAATAATACTAATTATATATTCAAATTGCCACACAACTCTCAACAACTCTGAGCAGACATTGCAGCTGATAATTACTTAGTCTTGAACTTAATCTTGGATTAGTGAGCATATCTGGACTTTTGAAAGCATATTATGTTCCTCACACAAAAGATGCCTGTTACAAATGTCCAATTTAGCAGGAAGTGAATGGGTGGGAATATTCTTGCCACTCTGCAGCCCCTCAGGATCCTTATTATCAACCTACCAATTCTCCTTTGTCTTTCTGAGTGGCAATGATCAGATTTAAAAATGGCTGGGCTGCAGCTTCTTGCCATTTTTATTTGTTAGGAATGGCCCTTCTGACTTATGACTGATCGACTTCTGACTTAACTGGCTCAAAACAGATGTTGTTATGGATTATGGGGTCCAGGAAAAATAACAAGTGCAAGTTATTGCAGTTGCTTAAAAAAAACAAACCTGGGGGGAAAATAGATGTGAAAGCAAAGGAGGAAAAAGCTGAAATCCTTTCCTTAATTGGCCTGCTTAATTTTAATTTTGTCATCTGTATAGTTTCCACAGCTTCATAATACGTATGTTGCTGTCAAAGGTTTCAAGGGCATTTCTTTTGGAGAAACAATTATTAGACTAATGATCTCATTATTTAATCAAATTGCTACAATTTAAGTAATATGGTCTCAATGAATTGTGACTTCTGTTGCTATTAAAGCAGCTGTTCCATTGACTCTCTTCATTCACTATGAATTGTGCATGGATTCTTATACTTCTTTCCCTTCATTTTTTTTCTTTTTTATTCAGCTGAAATAAAAATCTGCTTTAAATACTATCATGGTATAAGTGGAGCCCAGCGTGCAACAACTCCATGTATCACTGTGAAAAACCCTGCTGTGATGGTAAGCATATATATATATATAACTTACAGTGGATCAATTTATTTAACAGTAACATTAAACCTGTTAATTTAGGTTGACAAATAGTATTTTCCAATGAATTATCTGATTTAATGAGGATATCAACATAAAGAGGTGATGAGTGATATTTTTTCTCCAAAGGTTACATTTCATTTATTCTTAAACTGTTTGATTTTAATGTATCTTGAATTTAACATTTTGTTTTGTCAGGTAAGGTTGTTTGGGTTTGCTTAATGGCTTCCCAAAATCTGAACATGGTTTATCAGATGCTATCTCTATCGTCCTACAAGACAATTGAATGTTATAATTATGCCTCCTTAACTTTCACTAGGCTGCTTTTTTTAGGCTGAATAAAAGTAAATGTTCCTCTGAATAGAATTTGATTCCAACAGAGAATCTGGAATGAGCCCTGAATACCCTTGTATGCTGCTCCATCTAAGCGCTAACCGGAACTAAATCCCCTTAATTTTGGAGCCAAAACAAAGTTGGTCACCTTAGGCTGAGCAGATCACAAAAATACACATTCTTCTCCTTAATTCCCTCTCCTTGCCTGATTCAGTTTTATTATGAAATAATATTGTGGTAGCTTAACAACTTTGTAGAACCAATTTGATGTAGTGGCTATGACAGCAGGTGAGAAATCGCAAGTCTCTGATTTGTAGTTCTGCTTTGGGCACAGTGCCAGCTGGGTGACCTTGTGCCAGTCACACACACTCAATCCTTGGAAGCAGGAAACATTAAGCCACTTTAAAAAAAAACCACCTTGGTGTGGAAACAGTACACTCAGATAGCTTTTCCCAACCTGCTGTCACCCTGAAGTATTCGCTATATCTGATGTATACCTTGAACATTAGTGATGCTGACCAGGGCTGTATATTTTCTGGTGAAACAAATCTGATTATACTCAGCTTGAAGAAGGCTGTGTTAGCAAAGCTATCTTTAGTATTTATGCATGCACCTGGCCTGAGTAAAAAAAAAAAAAGTGCTCCCACACCTTTGTTTGGCTAAATGTATATTCATTAGAATTAGAATTAGAATTCTTTTTATTAGAATTAGAATTCTTTTATTGGCCAAGTGTGATTGGACACACAAGGAATTCGTTTTAGTGCAAATGCTCTCAGTATACATAAAAGAAAAGCTACATTCATCAAGAATCAAGAATCATAAGGTATAACACTTAATAATAGTCATAGGGTACAATCAACAATCAAATCATACTAGGAAACAGTCAATATAGATCGTAAGGATACAAGCGACAAAGTTACAGTCCTACAATCACAAGTGGGAGGGGTTGGGTGATGAGGAGTGATGACAAGATTAATAGTAATAGTAGTGAAGACTTTGTAAATAGTTGGACAGTGTTGAGGGAATTATTTGCTTAGCAGATTGATGGTGTTCAGAAAAAAATGTTCTTGTGTCTAGTTGTTCTGGTGTGTAGTGCTCTATAGCACAGTTTTGAGGGTAGGAGTTGAAACAGTTTATGTCCGGAATGTGAGGGGTCTGTAGATATTTTCACAGCCCTCTTTTTGACTCGTGCAGTATGCAGGTCCTCGACTGAAGGCAGGTTGGTAGTAATTGCTTTTTCTGCAGTCCTAATTATCTTCTGAAGTCTGTGTCTGTCCTGTTGGGTTGCAGAACCAAATCAGACAGTTACAGAGGTGCAGATGATAGACTCAGTAATTGCTCTGTAGAACTGAATCAGCAGCTCCTTGGGCAGTTTGAGCTTTCTGAGTTGGTGCAGAAAGAACATTCTTTGTTGTGCTTTTTTGATGATGTTTTTGATGTTAGGTGTCCATTTTAGGTCTTGTGATATGATAGAACCTAGAAATTTGAAGGTCCCTACTGTTGATACTGTGTTGTCTAGTATTGTAAGAAGTGGTAGTATGGGAGGGTTTCTTCTAAAGTCTACCACCATTTCTATGGTTTTGAGTGTCCAGATTGTTCCGATTACACCACAAGGCAAGTTGTACAACCTCCTGTCTGTATCCAGATTCGTCATTGTCTCAAATGAGACCAATAAATATCTGAAATACTGGGATGTATATGCTGTTGTCATGATGAATTTCTGCATTAAGCCAGGTTTCAGTAAAACAGAGAACTGCTGAATTGTAGAAATCAGAATTGCATCTATTTAAATGACGTATTTTAGCCATCTTGTTAGCAAGTGAGCGTAAATTAGTCAGAAAGATTGAAGGGAGAGGGGTTTTTTCCCTCCCTATCTATTTAAAATTCCCGCTCGTTTACCTCATCTCCTTTTTCAGCGCTACAGCTTCTATCCTTTGTTTGCTGTAATCCATAGCACCGGGAAATTAGTTAGAATCTCCTCCACATTTTCAAAGACAGGGTGTGTGTGAGGAATTAGAAAGCTGCTCCTTAAGGAAACATTGCCCAATTCTTAGCAGATGGTCTTGTGAGTATGAAATCCACAGTGAATTGCACAGAATAATAAAGAATAAAGAAACCATTAGAGAGCATTTCACTGTGGCAGCTGTTGGCGCCATCTTGGATTTATACATTTATATCTTAGAAATGTATACATTTCATTCATAGGTGAGAGTGGGCTAGCAACTTCATCTCAGATTCTGGCTAGCAGAATCTGGAATATCTAAGAGATATTAGTATTACATTAAGTGTTGTTGACCCAGTTCCTTTTTTTAAAAAAGGCTTATAAATGAGTGGGTGAGAGTCAGTATAACACAGTGATTAAAGGTACTGGGCTAAGAAGCTATAAAATCTAGTCCTGCTTTAGGCACAAAGCCAGCTGGGGCACCTGGGACCAGTCATTCTACATCTTAGTCTTGGAAGCAGGAAGTGCTTCTGAAAAACCTTGCAAAGAAAACTGCAGAGTTTAGTCCAGGCAGTAGCCAACCTTAGTAATGAAGAATCAAAAATTTCTTCAAAGTACCTTACTCAATAAGTAAGATATTTTAATGATTGCATTTATTCCTTATTCTGCACAATTCATTGAAACAAACGTGTTATGCATATTTAATTACAGTTTGTTGTAGAAGACAAAATGCAAATGAAGCCCAGCTGCAATTGTGTTCAATTTTGGATAATTGCACCATGAGTTTTAGAAGTGTAACTGGCTTGTCTACGCTTTGCAGTGGGCTACTCCTACTATTTGGAGGCATCAGGTTAAGGAAACTATTTTCTACATTCAGTTTAGACAAAGAAAATATTCAAATGGACTTTTTTCTCTTTGAAAAGATTGATAACAAAAAAAAAATCTATTGGTCTCAAAAGTTGTTTAGCCAGTATTTGGTGGCAGACACAAATAAGAGCAGTGCAATTTGCTATTCTTGACAAAATATGTAAAATAAATGAATCACACCTGCACCAAATCTGATTCCAGTCCTCTTTATTCTCATGATGTCACTGCTGTCCCTACCATTGAAAAAGTTGATTTAAAAAGTGCTGCTATTGGCCAGAAACTCATTGTGCACCATTGCAATAAACAATAGCATAATAGATGTGATGTAATAGTTAAGATGGGCTAGTCATTATTATTCAGGTTAACTTCATAGGGTTGTTATAAAATAAGAACTATCCTTGCCTAAATCATGTTCAGCTCCTTGAGCTGGGATAGACATCTGATAAGTAAAGAAAATGATATATCAATTTCTAATTTAATATAAACATGACTCTTAAAATTGATGGCAATACTAATATAACCTGTATGAGTATACATAATTCAGTAGATAAAAAGATTCATCATCATTTCTGTAAATTTATCAGTAACCAGGAAGAACAACAATGTATTTATTTCTATAAAACACCTATTTAGAGAAAATAAAACTTACCAGAATAAAGTGTATTTATGTCTCTTCTATTCTTATTAGACATTCAGATCCAATGAGACAGATCCCTGCAATTGTCTTTTTAGCTGTCACTTCCTCAATTGTTTTCTCTTTCTAACCCGGATCTTGAGGTTAAATAAAACAGGCTTATTTATATAATAGTCAATCTCTGTATATCAGTACACCAAGAATATAAACAATGGGTGGAATTTGGAAATGAGATATATTGCTGTTCAGAGCTGAACCAGCAAGAAGGCAAATCACAATTCCCAAGTCAGTTTTTTCTGTTCTGTTTTCAGTTTGATGGTCAATATTCCATAATCTGTGGAAACCGTTGAGTTTGCTTAGCTGCTCTGATCCTTTTAATTTTAATATGTTTTTATTTTTTATATTTCAAATTTAGCACATCTTGGATTTTATTCAACCACTGTGATAATTCCATCATATTTTTCTGTGATCTTATTTTGATTCTATGCTCAACTAAATTTGCTGTAAGAGAGACTGATTTTTCTCTCTCAAATTGTTCATCCCCTGTTGGACCAGAACAATAACTAAAACTATAATTTGTTATGTATAATAACAAATCAATATGTGTGCCACAGAAACCAAAATGGTATTTCAAAACAAAAAAAGACATATATTGATATTCGACAAAAGTCACCTGTTTTCTCATTAGTAATTCTGTTATAACAAAGGCTATTTTGTTCTATTTATTATGCACTTACATTAACTGATTCCTATATAGAAAGTATTTTAAGCATTTAATGGATGAATCACTATTTTATATTTAGAAGGGTTTTTTTCAGATTTTTCTTATATTTTGAACTGCAGAATACAACATAAAATATTCTCTGCCTTTTAGATGGGGACAGAAGGCACTGACAGTGCTTCTACAGGTCAGCACTGCCGAAAATTGATTAGTTTTACACTCTCCGGTAAGTTTTGCTTATTTTTTTGTCCCTTTAAATCAGAACATTATGAATCTTTTTATAGGGAGTTCTGTGGAGTTCCATTTTAAGAGGAAATTTGAGTGAAGTTTTAGAGGAATTTCTGGTGAAAATAATAGATTGGATCCAGATTGTTCGAGTCAGGAGACTAGAACATTAAAGATAGATGAAGAAAGGAAAGAAATAAAAGAAACTGGAGTGAAAATAAAACAATTGCCGGAAGAAAACCCAAGTCTTGTCTGAAAAAGTATTAGAAGGTCAACAGAGTGAATGAATGAATGTACATTTGAACCCATTCATACAACCCTGTACAATGCCATTACCACACTGGGACTGGATCAATTAGTATATAACAACACCAGACTAAACAACTGCCCTGACCTCATCTTCTGCAACAGCTCAAACTCAGTTTATGGCCTACAAATACAGGAACCATTTTCAAACAGTGACCATAGCATGATTGACTTCTTTCTAAATTTACATCTTCTCAAAGAGGATCGTAATGATGGATCTCCAAAACCCAATTTTTAAAAATCCAATTATGAACTCATAGCTGCCGACTTATCATCTCTTGATTGGCACATTCGGTTCTCTGGCTGTAACACTACAGAAGAACATTATAACGCCTTCTTGCTTGAATTTGAAAGAGTCATTAAACTATATGTTCCATTAGTAACCCCCAAAAACAAAAAACAAAAAACCCAAAATAATAAGAAAACTTCAATCTAAAAAAAATCTTTATGACATAAAAACAAAATTAAATACGTAGCTAACTTTGAAAACCAATGCAACACCTTATGCCAACAGATAAAGGCAGAATGCACCAATTATCACTGCAAGCAAGAGGAAAATCTTCTACGCACAAAATCCACCTGTGCCTTCTATCACTTTGTAAACACTAAACTTAAAGACTCAAAAACCATCCCACCCCTAAAAGGACTTAATGGGAAAGATTATAGCAATGAAGCCATTAAGACAAACATCTTCAACACGTTCTTCAGTTCAGTCTTTGTAAACAGTAATGGCTCATGCCTCACATTTCCTAATCGTACAACAACTAACTGCAACAATCTACAAATTGACTTTACATAGAAAATGTGCTATGCCATCTAAAGCCATCCTTATCTATTGGCCTTGATGGCTTATGTGCATTCTTAAGAAAGCTCTCCACTACCATAGCAGAACCCCTAAGCATAATATATGAGACATCATTCAAAACCAGCTCCCTACCAAACCTATGATTTTTAGCAACGGTCATCCTTATCTTCAAAAAAGGTGACCCCCTGTCTGGTTGAAAACTACAGATCAAACACATTGTGTTGTGTCATGTGCAAAGTTATGGAATCAATTATTAATTAATGCATTACCTTCCACCTAGAGTCAAACAACTTATTCTCCAATAAACAATTTGGTTTCAGAAAAAAATTGTCCTGCAATTTGCAACTTCTACACTGCAAAAACATATGGACTATACTACTTGACCAGGGTAAAGCAATAGATGTAATTTACATTGACTTCTGCAAAGCCTTTGACTCAGTGGTACATGACAAATTACTTACTATTAAAATTAAATTCTTATGGCATATCCGGATCCCTTCTCAAGTGGATTACTGCCTTCCTGTCAAACAGGCAACAAATAGGAAACGCCCTATCAAGCCCTGCACCAGTTATCAGCAGTGTCCCTCAAGGGAGCATTCTAGGACTCATTCTCTTTACACTCTATATAAATGACCTTTGTGATCACCTTATTAGCAACTGCGTCCTCTTCGCTGATGATGTAAAACTATTCAACACCACCGACAATGCTACCGTCCTTCAAAAAACCCTTGATTATGTGTCTGAATGGTCTAACAGTTGGCAAGTCCAAATCTCAACCAACAAATGCTCTGTCCTACATATTGGTAAAAAAAAACCTTTATACCAAATACAAGCTAGGCAGATATGACCTTGTTGATGACCCTCACTCTGTCAAGGACCTTGGAGTTCTCATATCGAATGACTCAAGTGCCAAAGCTCACTGCAACAGTATTGCCAAAAAGGCTTTAAGAGTTGTAAATCTAATTTTATGAAGCTTCTCCTCAGGTAATACTGATTTGCAAACTAGGGCATTCAAAACTTTTGCTAGACGAATACTTGAATACAGCTCTGCTGTCTGGAATCCGCACTGTATATCAGACATAAATACAATTGAGCAAGTCCAGAAGTATTTTACTAGAAGAGTACTACATTCCTCTGTTTGCAACAGAATACCCTACAACACCAGACTTGAGATTCTAGGCTTAGACAACCTTGAACTATACCGGCTAAGATTGGACTTAAGCATAGTACCTAAAATCATATGTTACAACATCTTACCAGTTAATGAATATTTCAGCTTTAACCACAACAACACAAGAGCACACAACAGATATAAACTAAATGTAAACCACTCCAAACTCGATTGCAGGAAGTACTATTTCAGCAACAGAGTGTCTGGAACTCACCACCTGATTCTGTTGTCACCTGATCAAACCCCCACTCCTTTAACCTTAAACTATCCACTATTGACCTCACCCCATTCCTAAGAGATCTGTAAGGGGCGTGCATAAGCGCACAATCATGCCTACTGTCCCTGTCCTATTGTCCCCAATTATTAGTTCCTATTTTTTATATTTAAACTTATGTTTATTCTTATTTCTATTGTAAGCTTTTGACTAAATAAATAAATAAGGAATTGCCACAGAAGACTGAGTTATATGCTTATAAGGATTATGAAGAGAGACCTTTGGTAAAATGATGAATTGAAAAAGGCTGTGGATAAAGAGAAATATATAAGAGCAATTGCTGAAAAAATGAGAATTACATAGCCCAATAACATAGCCAGTTGTTCTAGCTGAAGTAACAATTGTAGATGAAAGTAGTAGTAACAGTTGGGAAGGAAAGCAAAGGAGATGCCTTTGAAAAGCCTGATGCATCTTTCTGGTGCCCTCTATGAGTAGACCTGAGGCTCTCTCACCCTCTCTGCCTCCCCAGACTACTTTGGGTGTATGGATTCAATTTATTAGTGCTAAAATCTCTCTTGTAATTTTGGGTGGCCAAAGTAGCTTTCAATTTCTGCTTTAATCTGCAGCAAGATTTTTCATCCTTGAGCAATAGATTAGTTATGCTTGTCTCTAGTTTTCTTTCATTAACTTCTACATTCCATTAAGTATAACTCATGGAACCTTCAATAATCTATGGTTATTATTTAGATGTCTATGGCAACTCCCTGCCTCTCCATGCACAATGATCCAGTCATTTTTTGAACACAAAATTTCTTTGTCCGATAGCTTATCTTATTCTTCTGCATCAACACAAATTACTAATGGGTACAGCCCATTTTGGAGCTTTTTTTCGAAGCAGGAGGTCATAATGCTAGTTCATCATTTTGTATGACTTTGACATATATGTTCAAACAGTATAGTATGTCCATGAGAAGGTTCAATTTTGTATTCACCACCTTACTGGGATAAACCATTTTAATGCGAGCAGTGAATTTTCTGTAGCATTACTCAATTGAACTGAAGGCTCAATGGTAGCCTTCAGTTATGTGTTCAGCTTTCACAATTCCATGCTAGTGTGACCAGTAAATCTATATAAAAGCAAAGTGTTATGTTGTTGGAACGCTTAATGATAGGTTGGAAAAATAATTTTTAGCAAGTACGGTTGATGGACAAGTGGTCCTTGACTTACCGTAGTTTGTTTTGTGGCAGTTCAAAGTTACAACTGTATTGAAAAAAGTGACTTGCGATGGTATTTCACATTTATTATGGTTACAGCATCCCCATGATCACATGATCAAAATTTAAACACTTCATGGCTGACTCATATTTATGACAATTTCAGTGTCCTGGAGTCATATGATCACCTTTTGCGACTTTCTGACAAGCAAAGTCAGTGGGGAAACCTGATTCATTTAACAGCTGTGCCCCAACTTGACAACTGCATTGATTCACTTAACAACTGTGGCAAGAAAGGTTGTAAAATGGGGCAAAATTCATTTAACAAGTATCTCACTTAACAACAAAAATTATGGGCTCAATTGTGGTTGTAAGTCAAGGACTGCCTGTATTTATTGTATTATTGTTATTGTTATCCTCTGTTCTTCTTTTTTCACCTTTTCTTTCTTTTAAAGATATTCGGGCCATTGGACTTAAAAAAGGAATGTTCTTCAATCCTGATCCTTACCTAAAGATGTCTATTCAGCCTGGAAAAAAGAAAACGTTTCCTACATTTGCACACCATGGGCAGGAAAGGCGGTCCAATATCATCAGTAATACAACTAATCCTATTTGGCATAGAGAGGTAATAAATGGTTTTGAAGAAAACTTAACGCTGTGGTAAAGATTACATGGGTACCAGATGATCCTGTTCTTGCTCATAGCTATTGGTTCATGTTAGGTACAGAAGCAGAGTGCAATTTTAGATGATATTTACTTGAACATAAAGTGAAAAGAGAAAGTTTATGAATCCTTTAGAGCTGTCTGTAATCCTGCAGTACATTTACAATATGATCAGAGTTTATTGTGGTAATGTTTTTATTGAATATATGGAGGTAGCAAATTCCCCATTTTGGGGGGTGAAAATATGTGAACCTCTTAAGGGGTTAAATTGAAATGTTCCAGTCAGTCAGAAAACAATCAGGTGAGAGTTTGAGAGGCCATTCCCTACTAATCTCCCCTCCACATATATACTTGTTGAGTGACCCCTCATGGAATTGGCTCTTCGTGACATTGTAGACCTCAGAAAAAGTGCCATGGTTTCTTAGGTTGAAATGTGCTATAAATCCATTGTCAAAGACTTTGGCTTTCATCAATTGAAGATAGAGATATAATCTACAAATAGAGAAAATGCAGTATCATTGTTACTTTTCCCTAATTTATCAAACAAAAATCATTGCAAAAGCAAGATGCATCATATGCGAGGTTGCAAAGAACTCTAGAGTAATGGCACAAGATTTATAGGCCATTCTTAAATTATCTGATGCCAGTGTTCAAGAATCTAACATATGCAAAATATTGAACAAGAGGGGTGTTTGTAGGAGGATATTGAGCAAGAAACCACTGTTTTCCAGAAAACATATTGCCACCTGTTTGAATTTATTAGAAACTGCCTGGATGATCCAGCAGCGTATTGATTGGAACAATGTTTTGTGCACTGATGAGATAAAACTGGAACTGTTTGTTGTTTATGAAAACTGTTATATTTGAAGAAAATGAAACATTGCATTCCAACAAGAGTGCCTAATCCTAGTCATGAAGTATGGTTGTAGGAGTATTTTAGATTGGTACCATTTTTTAATCTCAGAATCTGACAGCTCTCAGTCACTAAGGAAAGATTGGTGACAAAACAACGTTTTGGAGATGTATTCTTGTGAGACATCACTAAATTCATGTTTATATGAAGTCTTTGTGGCTGGATGTTTTCTACCTTTTCTGTTTCAAAACAGTGTCAAACAGTTGCCAATAGATACTTATGAAATCTGGATTATGGTAATTGATAATGTTTGTATAAGAATAATTCTTTTAAAATATTGCTGAACAAATAATAGATATACTTGTCGTCATTGCTTGTTTTATGAAATATAGATGCACGTGTATTTTTTGTTTGCAGAAATATTCTTTTGTAGCACTTTTGACTGATGTCTTGGAAATTGAAATCAAAGATAAATTTGCCAAAAGTCGTCCTATCATCAAGCGTTTTCTTGGAAAACTCACTATACCTGTGCAGAGACTATTGGAAAGACATGCAATAGGGTAAATGAATATGTTTTCTTTGTTCACTTTAAGCCTATCAGAAGGAAAAGGAAGATTGTTTTCTTATAAAAGACTTAAACGTTTTGGTGCCAACTTAACTTTATTTACAATTCTTAAAAAAAATTCTTATATATTGTCTCTTTCAACGCAGTCCCTCATATACCATTTTGACAAGTTATTTTTTTAAAATTAAAATATGCTGAATTGTAAGACTCAGGTTCGTACAGTAGTGTGCAAATTTATTGACAACATTATTGTCTGATTTCAAATATTTTCAAATATTTTAAATTATTGTTGAAAAAATGAGATTAAATTCAGTAAGATTAGAATATATTAATATAACCTCTCTACAGATATTTTGTGAGTTTTAAATTATTTTTTCAATCAGCAATTCAATACATTTCTAGGGTTAATTTGTTTCTTAAACAACTGTGTAGAGCAAGGCATTAATCAAACATAGCTGATGTTAAAGTTTAATATGTTTCAAGATATGTTGCTGTATAGGATGAAAAACTAATGCAATGTAGTTGCATTGTAAGTCAGATTGGGAACGATCATACCTTAAAAATTAAAGTGTCAGATAGAATACCTACATAAAAATTCTAGGAAAGGGACATACTAATTAGAAAGAAGGCTTGTAACAGAGAACATAAAATGCGATACTTAAGAGAAATTTAATTAGTAGTAACAACAGAGATCATAAGGATCACAAAGCAAGTCTAGGCTACTCAGTACCTCCATAGATTGCCTATTAAGTGTTCTACTGAAATAGGAAGGACCTTACTGAGATCCTTTCTAGGTTAGGATCCTACTGTGATTAGTTCAGAATTGTTTTTGCTCTGCATTTGTGCTGCTTTTGCTTCTCTTTTTGGATGAGCTGCATTCATTAGAGGGATTGATATAATTCCCAAAAGACTTGTGGAATGGCTGCTTCACCACGTTTGGCACACACAATTTTACTTGGGCACACATTTAATGTGCCTTAATTAATTGATGAATTGCATCCTGTAGATTTACAACACAAGAGTGTTAACCAGTTATTTATGTAATATTGTACCACCTTTTATATAGGCACAAGAAAATTTCCAGGGAATAGGTCCAATGAGCATACAGTTCAGATCTATATCTTTCTACTAGGAAATTAAGAACCTGACTGAGAACATTCTGAAGTTTGTGGAACACTTCACTTGGCTGTCAGTAGGCATCTAATCAGGCACACGCTGCCTTGTACACATACATGTGGAAGTACATCCATGATTTAACAAGCACTTTGTGGTTTAGTAAGTGAAATGCCATTTTGGATCTTCTCTCTGAAATTGTGAAACAGCTGCAACCACTCAAATGCTTGGCGAGATTCCTTCAAGATCCTTTTGGGGACTTTTGGGCATGTGTACATATTGCCTGTCCTCAGTTCTACAAAATTTCTATTTCATCGCAGTGTTGTCATGCTGTTGCATGACTATTAAGAATCAAACCAGCTTGTAAACAAATGGCTCCTTTTCCACAGATTTTCTCAGCAATATAATACGTTGCATATATGGAGAAAGACAAATTCAGTTTGAAAACAGTTATCAGCTTTTCCCAAGTGATGTTGATGCAGGTAAGAAAAATACATTGCAGATTTGAAAAGAAAGAACAGGTTCCTTAATCTATGTTGCCCTGCGAAATGATTATCCCACTGAGCCAGTTAGATGCTGTGATTTTCTAAAACGTTCAGGATTCTTCATTAAACTTTGGGTCAAAGCTGTAGGAGAAAAATATTATGCTAAAGTCCTAAAAAGTAGTTTCTAAAATTTCAAACTTTTTTCATGTTATATTTTTTGCTTCAGCATCTATATTTTAAACTAAAATTCAAAATTGTGCTGTGCTTGTCAAATAGATGTGTTTTTAATAAATTTGCACACTACTGAATGCTACAGTATAATTATTAATTAGTAAAATTTTGGGATGTTATTTAATAATTTGCAAGACTTTATTTAATCATTTAAGACTTTTTATTTATTACTGTTTGCTAGAATGATCTGCAAGCTGATGCTGGTGACTTCTTCCAGCACAGTGTTTTTAATATTGAAATACTCATTAATAAGGACTGACTGGATTCTAATTAGGTTCATGTTTAAAAAAAAGATTAATGAGAAGAGTTTCTTATATATCCATAAAATGCTTTCTTCGATATCAGTGACTTTGGTCTGGTTTATAGATTTTGACTGCCATCTTGTGGTCACACAAAATTGCTCCATGAGGTACTGGGTGTTTCACTTTGAATATACTGCAAACGTTTTGAATATAGTGTATACATACATTGAGTATACATATCGCTAACAGCCCAAATGACATTCAGTTCAAATTGTACATTGAAAAGTTCTTTGCAGTACAATACAAGCCATCTTCTGGAAGAATCAGATTCCTGATTCTTCCTGATAACATAAATATTATTTACATTTAGTAATATATAAACTAATCTTTACCTTGATATCAACGTTTATACAAGGCAAAGTATATTAATTGAATTTGAGAGCCTAAGTCATCCAGTAAAATGTGGCCATGGCTTAGTCTGTTTTCCACAGTTTTTAGACTTGATCATAGAGCAGCTCTAATTCATTTAGAAGCAGCTCTAATTCAAATGCCTTGGGAGAATTCCTTGTTGGGAAAGTGGAAAAAAATCAGAATCAGGAATTGTTAAATGGCTAGATATCTCTTATATTATGCTTTTCAGTAAGATTGAATTAAATAAAATATTGGTATCACTGTTGGTCATATGCACGAGAAAAATATGCATGTTAAATTCTGTATCTAAAATAAAATTATGTATATGTTTGGATGAGGAAATGATAAAATATCTTTATTACAGACATGGGTAAGTGGATGTTTATATAAGATGGTGCAACATTTAATTATTCAACCTATTTTTTAAAGTTATTTAAAAAATGTATGGTCATTTATTCATTCATTCACCTTGAACTCCATGTAGTTGCAAGCATTTTTCTTTTTCTATGTTATAAGAACCTACAGTGTTTGAATTAATGCTTCATAAAATTTTCAGTGGTTGAACCTGTTTCACACAAGAATGTATTGGGTGTGCTAGATACAAATATCAAATTATTTTGATTGATTATCTTTTTATATCTGTTATTCTCCTTTATTTTGTGCTTGATCTTTCAACAAAAATTTTCTTGCCAATCTTGTATCTAATCCAATTGAATATTACAAAATATATGTGTAGTATGATCAGCAGGTATCAGCCTCAGGTCAAGCCTGTCTTTGCTCAAAAGCTAAGCAGGATCAGACCTAGTTAATAGTAGAATTTGACATCGTTGGTAACCACAACCTAGATTAGGAAACTAAAAATCAGGATAACAACTACAGCATGGGCACCAAACGTGTGGCATTATATTGCCATCACGTAACATATTGCAACGTTTCCCCCCTTCAGAGAACTGGGGTGGGCGTGGCCTGCATGTGATGTATCTGGGCTGCTGGCCACCAGTTTGACATCCCTGAACTAGAGGAAGGCAAGATACTTCCATAAGTGACATCAAGGGAACTGTATGGATGTGCCCATCTAATTATTGGTTATACTCAAGGGCATGTTATACTTTTTTAGCATAGCATTATACTGTTTAAGAGAGCCAGTTTGATGTGGTGGTTAAAGTACAAGATAGAAATAGGCAGACTCTGAGTTCTACGTCTGCCTTACTCACAAAGCCAGTTGGATGATTTTGGGTAGTCACACGCTCTCAGCCCCTAGGAAGAGGAGGCAGTGGGAAAACTCAGGGACAAATCCAGGCAGTTGCAAGGAGTCAATAATTCCTTGAGGGAAGGAGAGAGGAAGAGATATAGGTACAAGTGTACATACATGAGGGAGAATGTGTGTGAGAGAGGGGGTTGTAGTGATCCTTAACTGTTTCTTACTTTGAATGAAAAAGAAGGAATATATTGAATCTGGAGAACTGGTAGCAGAAATTTTGAGTAGTTTAGAGAACCGGCAGTAACCTTCCCCCAAGAATGGGGAAGGAGTGGAGATTTTACAGTATCCTTCCCCTGGAGTGGGGTGGGAATGGAGATTTTACAGTCTCCTTCCCCTTCCACGCTTACCAAGCGACACCATGTCCACCAAGCCATGCCCACAGAACCAGTAGTAAAAAATTTTGAATCCCACCACTGACTAAAACCTCCTGTACAGCACAGCAACACAGCCCTAATTGGGTTTTCTATAGTGGGAAAACAGATTTCTCTGAGACTATAATGGATCTGGATCCAATATCATCATCATCCCAATCGTCCATAAGAAGCATTTTGTATGTTTGCTATGACATGAAAATGAAGGCTAGAAAGAATAAGGGAGGCTAGGAATTCTTCAGCTGACGTTTTATTTGAATCTGAGAAGAACTTGATGAAAATCGTGTTTGTTTTCCTGAGGAGCCATTACTGTATCAAATCCTGATGCTTTGTTACTGAGTTGCAAGTTCTGAGAATACTGCAAGTATTGTGCATATTAGTCTATTTTAGTGACATTATCCTCAGTTGGATCAGTGTATCTTTTTTGTTTGAATTACACCAGGAATTTTAACACTAAAAAATAAAATTATTGGCTCAGTCAGATAGTATTTTCTTCACTATAAACTTTATGTTCTTGTATGCTCCTTTTCTCCCAAATCTAGCAAATGGGGTAATGGGGGTATGTGACATGTATGGGAAATATCCCCCATTTTTCTCAGCTAGTTAAACATATTGAAAGTTACAGAAAGCAGAATAGAAATATTCATACACAATTCCCTTTTTCAGAGATCAGGTTCTCAACTATAACCTTGGTAGAAGGCTACCGGCAGACCATGTGAGTGGATGTCTTCAGTTCAAGGTAGAGATTACATCTTCTCTTCATGAAGGTAAGATTTTGAAGTAACTACAAGCATGTTTGTTGATAAGAGTTTTATGACTGAACAGTGTGCATGGAGTGTTAGGATAAACTTTTGATTAATTTGGATCTTTAACCTTGGAATTTAATGAAAATGGCAATGGTGTGTTCTAAAAAGCTTTTAGGGATGAAGATGCTAAAGCATTGCTGGAGAAAGACAAGAGCCTACTGTAAGGCCCAGACTCTCTCCCCTTCAAATGATAAGAATGAACTTTTGAAAACTGGGTATTTCAAAAGGAATTCTTTATTCAAAAGGAAGATATCCAGGTGATATTCAAAGCAGAGTGTAATATGCCTCCAGGCATGTGGCTTAGATAAAGGGAGTTAGAACCCCTCCCCTTAGTCCGATGTGGATTTTGTCAATACAAAGAAGTAACATGTTAATTCCCCAAAACTCACTTTTTTCTAGTTGAGAAAAGCTTCCCAGGAAGTTTCTTTCAAAACTTCAATTTTTATGGCCCTTTCTCCTCTTGCTATCTCTCCAAGAGGTGACAAGTTTCCAGGCATCTGGGCTCCAGTCCCCAGTTGTATATCATGTGCAAGTTATACAGATTCAATATAAGAACTAAGATACTCAGGTTACATCAAAAAGGATTATTTCTTTCAAACCCCTCCCCCTCTTCTTCCGCTGAAGAATGGCATTTACACGGATCTGACACTTCCATTATAGAGATATGGGTGAAAAAAACATATATTTTTTCTGCTGTGAAGTCTGTAGAATGCCAGCTAGCAATTCTTTTTATGGTAACTTGGACCTTGAGTCTGATGAATGGCTGCTGTGAAGAGTCTAAGCATTTTAGATAAAGTTGCCGAGATGCACTCAGAGTTACATCTTAGCTGGGGAGATTTTTGTATTTGGCTAAGAGCAGGATCTTGCCATGTTATCTGGGAGAAGTTTGAACCTGTGAGGCTTAAGAAAATGGACAAGTCCTCTGTGGTGTTAATGCTGCTACCTGTATGTTATGTCATTCTTCCTTCTATAGTGCCTGTATATCCTTATTTGAGATGTCATGTTATCTCAGTTCTTTTAATTAGTTTCATATTCTTTCATTAAAATTTCCTGTTTTGAAAACTTATTTATAGTATTTCACTTGTTGATATTTTAACAGACTTTTGTACTTTGTGTACTTGCTTATAGGTCTATCTAATTAAAATCATTTTGTTGTCTAATCATTCTTAATTTTCTTAGCAATTACTATTAACTAAGTATAAGTTCTGTACATTCCTTGCTTTTCATTAGAATTAATGCTCCCAAATTTTCTGATATTTACAATGAATTAATTAAAAAAATTAAGATTATAACAACTCATAGATATAAGCTTGCTATCCTCCCACCCTTCCCCGCCCTCCCTCCCTCTTTCTCTTCCTTAAATTATTCTGTTAAATATCATGCCTTTTATGGTTTTGTATGAAATACATGGTAAGATTTTAGTCTTTGTTAGTTAATCTATGTGCATCCAAAGGATGTTCAACTAGTTTTTATATCATGGTACAAAACCTCTTTTTTAATGAACAAAATATGTAATAGTCAAGCTATTTAGTAGGTGCTGCTATAGAAGTGCTCAGAATTTGAGGATTCAATTTTCTCCCAATAAATTTATGGTTTTATTTTGCAAAGGATTATTCTTTATATGATCCTAAGTTGCACATTCAAGACCTTGTGTTTTAATTTCTCCTTTCTTCCTCAATTATTATTTACCTAGTAGAAATTGCCGTCTGCATTCAAAAGTATATTTGGTTAAGGATGTGCAAACTGGTTTTGTAGCTTAGAAAGTTGAGTCCCTATAAAGTGATCAAAACCAAACCAGGAATCTTAAACAATTGGATTGCTCCTCCTTAAAATGTTAGAATTGAAAAAAGGAAGTAGGTCAAGTTTGCTTCCTAATCACACTAAAATAATTTGCTATCTGTGGCCTCTGTTGTCTTTTGGGGAACCATATTTATATGGATATGCTGGTACTGCATGCAGCTAATTATATAATTGTTACATATGAGAATACAACTAATGTGGTAGCCCAATATAAGCACTTTCTCCATATTTAATTATAGCTAACAGATTACCTAGAGCTGTGATGATCCTTCTTATACTTTTTGCCATTCTCCCATGTCTACTGCTGCCTCCCCACTGTAGCAGATATAATGCAGTTCTTAGGGGCTATCTAATCACTGTGCTTTGTTGTCTATTACTCTGAAACTACAATTTTTCTAGAAGTAAGTCCAATTCTGTTGAAAAAAGAGAAGTTACTATTATATGTCTTTAAATGTGCTTTTTCAAGAGGCAACTGGAGTTTCTGGGTTTTCTTTGAAGACGTTTCACTTCTCATCCAAGAAGCTTGTTCTTCTGAAGAAGAAGCTTCTTGGATGAGAAATGAAAAGTCTTCAAAGAAAAACCCAAAACTCCAGTTGCCTCTTGAAAAAGCACCTTTGGGACAACCATGAGCTGGATGACTGAGAATCTCCATAATTATTGTTATGTGTTTTTCCAACATTAATTGATGGGAGGCATGTCTCATTTTGGATTGGAGTCTCAGATGAAGCAGAATGTATTGAATAGAGCTCCACTTGAAATCTTGTGTTAGATGCATAACTGTAGAGTATTTCCTAAAAGGAGATTTAGGGACATTTTAAATGAAATTCATCAGTACAGTTCTGTACACAGAACTGTCTCCAGTGCTGCTTATGTTTCATACAACCCACTTGGACCCTCAAAATCTGTTAAAACTAGTGTTAGGTTTTGGAGTATGGTCCGAAGATTTGTGGTAGAAGCAAGAAAAGGAATAAGTATCAGCATAGATAGGAGTACAAATTTATTCACATGATATATTTCACCCAACGTTCTTCGTGTATAATTTCTGTGCTATTTCCTCTTTACATTTTTCATTTAAGACATAGCTTAGAAATCCTCTGTACAGTGCTGTACTGAGGTTGTCAGTTAGAGAGTTAAGGTTCACAATTAAGACATATGGATCCGTTTCACTAATCAGTCTTTATCTTTTCATTGTAGATGCTTCACCAGAAACTGTAGGAACCCTTCTTGGAGTAAACTCTGTCAATGGGGACTTAGGAAGCCCTTCTGATGATGAGGATGTACCTGCAGGACATCATGATACACATCCACTTTGTTCAAATGGCCCAATTCTTGAAGAATCATCTGGAGATGCCATCTTGCAGCATTCTTTTAGGACTAGTACAACTTCAGAAACAGATCAAGAGGATTCAGCGTCTACAACGTCAAGGTCCTCAGTTCCCAGGGGCCGCCAGGACTCCTTGAATGACTACCTAGATGCAATAGAACAAAATAATCTTCTTAGATCTGGGGCATCTGCTTGTAATGAACGTACTATTGGGGCATCCCCAAAATTGAGGAGTAGCTTCCCTACTGATACACGACTTAATGCTATGCTTCATATTGATTCTGATGAAGAGGAACATGAATTCCATCAAAGTTTGGGTTTTCAGTCATCAGTGGATGATGATGGTGGTGGTTTGATTATGATAAATGGTACTACTAGAAATGATGAAGCAGGTTTCTTAAATGGCTCCTCAAACCAAGAAACACAAAGCCAAGTATCTGAAGAAATTGTGAGAGCACCCAATGTAGAAATACCTTTGCAATCCTCCTGTTGTCAGGAGGAGATGTCCAATGGGCCTGCTGAATTGGAGATAGCAAGACAAGAAACTGAAACTCCTCAGAATTCTCAGGATAATTGTCTAGAAGATTTAGCAAGCAATTCCATTTCTGTACCTCAGGAAGCAGAGCAACCCATCTCTGGTGTGGATGCTGGAACTTCTGAGTCAGTTTCTGGGAGCAGGCGGGAAATCAGGGAAGCTGAATCTATTGATCAAGGATCAGAACCTTCTCAGATTTCATCAGAGACCGAACAAAGTGATGCTGGTCATACCGAGAGTGTTAGTGAATCAAGCACCAGGCCAGAGGGAGAAAGTGACATAGAAGGGGCTGATGGCTCTTGCAATGAAGGCACAGCTACCCAACTCTCCTCTGTTGACACTTGCTGCTCTTCCCTTGAAAGCAATCGCTTTCCTGAGACACCAGCCTTTTCTTCTCAGGAGGAAGAAGAGGGTGCTTGTGCAGCAGAGGCTTCCAGCAGTGAGCCTCTTCCAGAAACTCAGGACGCTGTGTGCACTCAGGCCTATTTACCTGCGGTGCATTTACCAAGCGCTCAAGAGGAAGGTCAGTTGTTTGAAATTGATGGACTCCCAGATGGTGATGATTCCGAAGAGATATGGCAGAGGAGACAGAATCTGCAGGCTGCAGCTATACATAACCAGTCTCAAGAGGAAGATATGAGAGGTGCATCAGCATCATGTGAAGGAGTTGCTTCACAGGAGGCTGGAGCTAGTGGAGGTAATCAGCACAAAAGAATGTCAGTAAGATAATTGATAACTTACCTATCTTCATTCCATGATTGATTCAATTTACCTCGGCAAGCTAGTTTAATTTTGACAAATACAGTCCAAATATAAAACACTGGTTTGCATAGCAACACCAATATTTTCCCAATCTATGTTTATCTTTAATCTCTGTGCAAGCACTGTAAGAATCTGTAAGAATTGTAACTATCATTACGAAAGTGCATGAGTCTAACGATCCAGGCAGGATTTAGTGTTTTGCTGAAGATCATTTAGACAAAAAATCATGAAGGATTTTTGTTTACACTGTTTAGTGTTGTCTAGTCATTCAGACGCTGAATGGCATTCTCCATTGAAGAAGGCAGACAGGCAGGCAAGCTAAGTTGGTCAAGGGATAGGGCTAGACATCCTTCCCCTGCTTGGTCCCTCAGGAAGTGTTGGTATTACAATTTCCAGATTTTTCAAACAAGGTGGCTGGGAATGCCAAGAATTATATTGCCAACCAATGTTGAAGTCACCAGACCTCAGGCTTAGGAGGAACTTCCACTTCCTCTCTGTGACCAGTCACATTCTTGAATAAAGACTATGACAGAACCAAGTTTCATTGGTCAGAAGTTCCATAATTTCTTCATAGCTTATTCTGAAGTAAATAAAAATTAAAATCTTGTCACCCCTCTTCCCAAATGATGACCTGGAATTCTTGTTCTGAGATTATGCATTCTTTTTTTGACAATGTAATACTGTGTGTGTGTACTCAAAGGACCATTTAATTATCCACAAATAAAAACAATAAGATACAGGGTGTGAGTTGTTTCTGTTCAGAGATGCATTAGTAAAACACTTCTTGGGTGCTTAATTACAGAAAGATCATCACAAGAGTTACCAGTGCATTCTCTAACTTCTTTTGACTTCTCCTTTCTACTGATCACTGCTTTTTTATCATCTTCTTTGTCCACGCTCTCCTGTCCATTAAAAGAGCTGTAAAAATGAAGCTGTTTCCTTGGGGGCTGAGCTAGGACATTGTAGGACACCAATTTGAATCACTTTACTAATTTTTCTTTGCCTCCTTCCCATATGCCTACTTTTGTGTTGTTTAAAATTATTACTCTGTTATTTTCACCTTTGTAAACTGCTCAGAATCCTGTACATAATTCGTAAATATTGTACATGTTTGGGTGGAAGGTTTACACAGTATTTCTTTTGGATTTTAGGTTCTCAGCCTGATGGTCCTCAGCCTCTGAGATCTCTTCCCTCGGTTCGTCAGGATGTTAGTCGTTACCAGAGAGTGGATGAAGCTTTGCCACCAAGTGAGGAATTTTTTTCTGTTTTAATTAAAAGTATAAAAAATACAGACTACATGAAGGAATTCTTTTGTTTTTTCATAGTAAAGCACACCCAGAAGAATTTAAAGTGTCAGTAATTGGATTCCTGTTTAAAAAAACAGATTGTGTGCTTCACCATTTTTCTTTTTTTCTCCCTAGAGATGGTGCCACTGTGAGGTCCTTCTAACTGGGAATGGAATTATATTACAGGTGGTCCTCATTTAAAGACCATTCATTCAACAACTGTTTGAATCTGTGATACTGCTGAATGAATGGGACTGGTTACTATGACCAGTCCTAGAATTTCCAGACAGTGCAGTACTGCCTGCAAACACGTGATTGCAATTCAGGCACTTATCAACCAGCCTGGGTTTCCAACATTACAGTGTCCTGCAATGACATGATTGCAATTTGCAACTTTCTCCATAGAGCTGCTACGAGCATCCAGGATGGGAGGTGCTCCAGTCTCGGCTCTCACAGGCTGAGCTTGAAATTGAGGAACGCCTCTCCCCATCACGTGGTCCTCTTGGCGTTCCCCAGTTTTTAGCTCAGCCTCGTGACAGTCAGGCTGTTTTTCTCTAGCTCTTGGCCGATCCAGGTTTTTCTTGCAGATCTTCGATCAGGTTGGACCCTTATTTTCAATTTGCGCAGTGGATTTGGGGCTTGGGCTCCCTAGGGAGCTTTTTCTTCCCTCCTAACCATACGGGGAGCAACTTAATCGCTGTTTTCTAGGGGCAGCATCCAGCGCTTCGAGTGCCAGCGCCCCCCCATCGTCTGCCACTCCTTCGCTCAACGCTGAGCGCCGCTTTCCTGCCTTCCGTCTCATTGTTTCCCCTCCGTGAACGCCGTCAATAGCCTAGGGGAGATATTCTTCCCCTGCTCCTCCCGTTATTCGTGGCCTTCAGGCCTCTTCTCTAAGGGAGAGTGCCGCCGCTGAGAGTCCTTTCGCATAGCTCGCGGCCGCCATTTTGGGTGTGCCCAGGTGTCGCCCGCCATTTTGGACGCGGCCGCATGGCCGACCGCCATTTTTTCTGGGCCTTGTCTGGTAGGCTGCGCGACTGAGTTATCACTAGACAGTTCCCTAGGACTGCCTATATTCTAGCTCGTGTCTTCAAGGCCTTATTCGAAGGTTCCGAGCATTACAGGGTCCGTTGGCTCCGCAGCCTCCTCAGCTGGCGAAGTAGCAGCATTCACATTCCCCCCCCCAGTCTTCGTCTGGGGGGCAGCTGCACAGGTGTTCTTTCGGCTGATTGGACACTTGGGCTAGTCCCAGCTTTTAATAGTTTGCAAAAAAATTTTGACCAAAAGGGGTGTGTGAAACAATCGTGGTGATACCTGGCCTTGGTGTAGGCCGCATCCAGACGAGCCAACCGTCTCATATTAACTCAAATAAATTTTTTTCTTTCCAGCTTTTCTAGATGGCAGATGACAGAGTTTCACGTGGCACTTCTCTGAAGGCCAAGTCAAAATCTCATTACCTGCGCAACCAGGCACAGGAGACTTCCAAAGCCTCCCAGAAGGATGCCCTCAGACGTCACAGGGCAATTGAGAGGGAAATAGATAGGCGGTCTAGAGAGTCAAGCTCCGTGCCTCTGGCTCCTTCTTCCGCCGCCCCCTCAACCTCCACCCATCCTCCTCCCCCCCCTCTCCTGCTCAATCCTCAGCCTCGCTGCCTAGGCAAGCTCCTGAAGCTACTTTCACTCCCACTGCTGCTGGCCTGCGCCCGGAAGAGCCACCCCAACCTCCTATGGCTGAAATTCCTGAGAACATGAGACTATGGATGGAGATTGCCATCCGGCAGGGAATTGCGCAAGGGCTCCAGCAGATGGCCGATCCGGCCCCACGGCCTGCGGCCCCCAAAACTCACGTACCATCTGTCAGATCGCTCTCCAGATCAGATGCTTCGCATGGTCAGGTAGTATCCCAGAGGGAATTGCCTCTCTCTCTGGGGATAGAGAAGGTGGAGGCACAGGAGTTCGGGGGTCCCACCCAGTTTGGGGAAGAGGAAGATCTTGACTTGTCCATCATTTGCAGCGAACCCCTCTCAGGAGCAGACCCAATGGAAGGGGAAATGTCAGAGGATGAAGGCCTCACCCCGGACCAGCCCGCCTTTGTGGGGCTGTTTAAACCGCACCTGTTCAGGTCGATTCTTTTCAAGGCAAAAAATACCTCTGGCCTGACCCCTCACACACCTTCTGAGCCTGTAGCCTGGGGGGTGCCTCACAACTCCATCTTCTCTCAGCCCGTGGTGGAGACTGATGTCATTCCGGTCCCACCTATCTTCTCCGACCTGGTCTCCAGACAACTAGCCTCCACGGGGCCCCCTCCTCCCCCTTCCAGTCAGGACAAGCGCTTCTTTAACCTTGACCCGGAATTCTCCCTTCTGCTCGATCCCCCATCTGTTGACGATCCTATCGTGGGTCTAGCTTCCCCCTCAACCCCTAGCGATGCCTTAGAGGCACTCAAACCAGAGGACAAGCGAGCTGAGCTAGCCCTGCGCCGTGCTCACCAATCCAACGCCTGGGCTATTAGAGCGTCTACTGCTGCGTCCTTCTTCACCAGATCCTCAATTAAGTGGCTCCGGCAGCTTAAACAGCACGTCCCCGCAGCCAACCTCAGGGCGCAGCAGGACATCGCAAAGCTCACGGCCGCGGCCGAGTTCTCGGCCGACGCTACCTTTCAAGCCGTGACATTTTCCACCAGAGCCATATCCTCCCAGGTCACTGCTCGCCACTTGCTTTGGCTCCGCCACTGGCAAGCGGACGTCAAAAACAAAATGAAACTGGCATCCGCTCCCATTTCGGGGGGGAAACTGTTTGGATCGGTTCTCGACCCCTTCCTGGCCGAGACCCGCAACAAACGTAAATACCTTCCCTCGCTTTTTCGGAGGTCTGACCCCAGAGCCCCCTCTTCCTTTCGTCAAGGTTCCTTTCGACCCTCCTCCCAGGCCTCTTTCCCCCCTAGATACTTCCAATCCCCCTCCTACAGACCCCCTCCTCCGCACGACCGGTCGGACCCATCTGACAGGCCCAGAAGAGGTGGTCCCTTCAAAAGGCCCTTCCGGGGATCTGGGAACAGGCCCTTCCGTCGCTCAAGATAATTCAACCCCCCTCCCCTCCTTAGGCGGCCGCCTCAAGCATTTCGCTAGTCAATGGGAGGCCACCACTACCGATGCATGGGTCAGGGACACGGTTCGCTTTGGCCTTGCACTTGAATTCCAGTCCCCCCCTCCCGAATTTTTCATGTCCTCCCCCCTTTCCAGGAACCCTACCAAGAGGGCCCTCGTGGACGCCACCATTAACCATCTCCTTGACATAAAGGCTATCCAGCCCGTTCCCGCAGCTGAGCGGGGACGAGGCTTCTATTCCCATTTGTTTGTAGTGCCCAAGCACTCGGGGGGTTGGAGGGCTATCCTAGATTTAAAAAGACTGAATCGCTACCTAGCCCCTCGTAAATTTAAAATGCATACCTTGCAGTCTATACTCCTGGGAACCCGGCGAGGGGACTGGCTCACCTCAATTGACCTCTCCGAGGCATACTTACACATTGCAATTCGACCCTCCCACTACAAATTTCTGCGCTTTTCCTACAATAAACAGCATTTCCAGTATGTTGCACTCAGCTTTGGTCTGTCCTCCGCCCCCAGGGTTTTCACCATGGTTTTGGCAGCCCTCGCTGCCCACCTGAGATCCTTCCCTGTCCGTCTCCACTGTTACTTGGATGACATCCTCATCCTCTCCTCCTCAAAGGTTCAGGCCCAACGAGACACTAGGTTAACCCTTACCACCCTTCAGGACCATGGGTTCCTGATAAATTGGAGGAAAAGTCACCTTTCCCCCTCTACCTGGCTTACTCACTTGGGGGCGGTGATCGACACTACTCAGGAACTGGTTTTCCTGTCCCCGGACAGGTGGCTCAGTATCCAACAATCCATCAAGCACGTCAGGCGGGCAAGGAAAGTGTCTCTCTTAGATTTGTCAAAACTGTTGGGGAAGCTAGTTTCATGTATCTCTGTTATCCCTTGGGCCCGTTTCCATACCAGGTCCCTTCAATGGTTCCTGCTCCTGCATCAGCGTTCAGGAAGGAGCAACTCAAGACTCCTGGTCAGAGTCCCTCCAAGAGTTCTCACGTCCCTCCTTTGGTGGACCAGGCCGGCCATCAACAAGGGCCACTACTTCAAGGAACCCGACTGGTTAACTATCACCACAGACGCGAGCCTCCTAGGATGGGGCGCTCACGTCCTCTCCATCTCGTCCCAGGGCAAATGGTCGGCAACAGAACAACTCTGCACCATAAATTGGCTGGAGCTCCACGCTGTCTACCTGGCGCTTCGCAGCTTCCTACCCCAGGTACGCGGGCGTCACGTCTTGGTCCTTACAGACAACATCACGGCGAAGGCCCATATCAACAGGCAGGGGGGCACCCAGTCAATACGGCTCATGAGAGAGGCCGAACGTCTGTGCCGATGGGCGGAATCGAACCTGTCTTCCATCAAAGCAGACCATATATCGGGGGCCTTAAACATCCAGGCAGATTGGCTCAGCAGAGCCACCCTAGACCAAACAGAATGGCACCTCCATCCATCCCTATTCAGGGAGGCAGTCTCAATCTTCGGTCTCCCCATGGTGGACCTTTTTGCATCCCCCCTCAACGCCCAACTACCAAGGTTCTTCTCCAGGTACCCCTCTCACGGGGCAGAGAACCACAATGCCCTCCGTTGCCCTTGGCCCCCAGGGCTCCTTTATGCCTTCCCCCCCTGACCCTCATCCCCAGGGTGATACACAAATTGATCCTAGAACAAGCAGAGATTCTTTTGGTAGCCCCTTATTGGCCCAGACGCCCCTGGTTTGCGGACCTTCGCAACCTCTCGGTGGCCCCTCCCTGGAGAATCCCACCCGACAAGATCTCCCTGTCCCAGGGCCCTCTGTCACACCCGAACCCCCAATGGCTCCAATTAGCCGTCTGGAGGTTGAGCGGGACCGCCT